TATATATATATATATATATATATATATATATATATATATATATATATATATATATATATATATATATATATATATATATATATTATTATTATTATTATTATTATTATTATTATTATTATTATTATTATTATTATTATTATTATTATTATTATTAAAATGTCACACGATGATATGAATAACAACATCGACGATCTGTCGAGCGATCTCGCAGCCTCGTTTGTAATTGCACCAGAGGATCACTTCTCAACCGATGCTCCCCATCCAAGGTAAGGTACTATCCAAGCTACACAATAAAATAACTGTATATAGACTATTTAGGTAATGGCCAAAAGATTTATATTTAAGAGAACTGTATACAAACTACATATATATAAGCCGAAATTGAAGTACAGGTGTATTTGTATGACATATAGTACAAGCTGAAGCACACACACACACACATATATATATATATATTTATATATATATATATATATATATATATATGTATGCCGAAGCCTTTGCATAAAGTCGAAGACCCATGTGTTGGCGTATGTGTACTATATATGTACAAGCAGAAGTGTTAAATATTGGTGGGTATGTACTACATGCATAACCGCCGCAGATTTCAATATATGCGTATACGCGTACATGTACCACAGGTGTATTCATAGACTAGACTTATGGTTTACGTGCGTAGCTCCCGCTTCTACCACACAATTTGAAAATAGATCATTTAATTCTGTTAAATAAATAGAATGAGCTCAATATTCGTTGGTATATATGTGTGTGTGGCGCAGGGAACCAACATCGCCTATCTGTTCACTGACATTTACAAAAGGCATACTTTTAGTAACGCGTACAACATGCAAACCTTTCTCTAAGTATACCGAATACATGTTTTGCTTGTTGTGTACAAAGTACATACTTGGCCTATATTGGCTGGTGTATACAGCTCCGTTTTCGTCTGATACGGTGCATGAGTTACATGTGTAGTCGCCGAACACACGAATTTAGGCTGCCTGTTGCGAGGCACTGTATGTTTGTGGTGCATGTCTGGTAGAAACCAGGTCCTTGTCACACCATTGTCGCGGTTGAAGCATAGCTATATATATATATGGTCAAACCTTTGTTACCTATGGTAAGCGAGACTTGGATATTCCCCTGTGACTACAGCCTCAATCCAATAGCCCTTTCCTGTTTCTATTCTTTTAGAGATCAGCTTCGCTCAGTTATCTAACAATCATTGTACCACCCACACCTAACAAGAGATATGTCTGCATGTGGTCCCCAGATACGGCCTTGTCAAACCTCGCCAGGCGGTCACTGGTCAGAACGAGCGTCGTCGACAGTTTCTTTTGCGGTTGCGAGAGCGGCGCGCGGATTTCTATGCGCTGGCCCATGGTATCGCACTTGGGGACAGCCCACACGCCCAAGGCACAGAGGATCCTAGAGAAAGTGCAGGGGATGGGAGACCAGAGTGTATAATAGATGCACCGGAGGTGAACAATACAGCAGATACGGAGGGTGTACGAGATGCAGAGGCAGAGGCAGATGGGGATGGGGATGGAGGTGTAAGAGAGTGTAAAGCTGGCGGAGGAGCTGAGGCTGAGAAGGTTCGCGACATTGGAGGGGAGGAGACTGAGATTGAGCATACAGCACCCGCCCGGGTTGCTAGGCAACGGGGGACCAAGAGAAGGGGAGATGACGATGAGAGTGTGCAGCCTACCAGCAAGTGGATGTGCCAAGACGAGGTGATGGCACCGTCGAAACAAAGCCAAACTCACGGATATAGAGAGCGCAAGTATAAAGATCAGGTACGTTGATATGGTTACTAGTGTCGCGATAACTGTTCAGAGGCTAGTACTATTGCATCTACTGATCTTCCATAGGAAAGTGTGTGTTGCAAATCACGTGTATATCCCACCCACGCATTCGACCACTGTGTGCACGTCGAGATTCAAGCCCGTGTAGCTCATTTGGGTACAACCAACGAATGTGTGTACGTCCAGAGAAAGCGTGCACGTATACCGCCTTGTAGTTAAATGTCTCGTTGAAGGATAGGTTGGTGGAGTGCGGCTGAAATATGAGCTAATGTACTAGCAAGGGTTTGCTGTAGTCAGCGTATATACATCTCATTCCAATAACACGTTGTAGGTAGTGTCTGCTGCAGTGCACGGGTGCTCTGTGGGTGATACCAGTGCAGGATAGATGTACTAAAGGATGAATTGAAAGCAGAAGCCCACGTTGCACTGGCCTGCTTAGTTTCCGAGATCTATCGGTCTCACTGTGTTACATGAGCAGTTAATACTGTGAGTTGACAACATACCTACACACACACACGCGCGCGCGCGCGCGTCTGGACATCGTATTTGTTATAGGGACCGACAGTGTCTACAACGACCCCCAACTTGACAAGCCTGTACCTGGTAATGGATCACCAAGCGCATGTCTGATACTAAATTTTCAAGCTTATGTATTTGGATGATAAATCCACATGCTCATATCTGGGGATGAATCAACAGGCCCATATCCGGTATTAAATGCACACGTTCGTAATCGTTGCTGAATTCTGAATACCCCTGGCATCAACACATCACACAGCTCATGGTTTCCGAGTGGATGGTCGAGAAACCTGAAGACTTTGCCACTGAGTGGTTGATGAAAACATGCCCCATCGGCAAGAGGTGTATGGTTGTATCCTCACAAGGCCAAACACGAGCGTTTTGCCGCAACGGCTACTGTATAGAACGCTTCGACTCGGCGTTACCTGGAGGCAGGTATGTGCATGAGTATGCTGTGTGTCTATTTGGTTGTTGTATGTGCACATGTGAGCTGGATGTGTATCGGTTCGACGCAACGGCTACTGTATAGAACGCTTCGACTCGGCGTTACCTGGAGGCAGATATGTGCATAAGTGTGCTGCGTACGCATCAGGTAGTTGTATGTGCACATGTGAGCTGTATGTCTATTTGGTTGGTGTTTGTGCTCATGTGCGCTGTATGTCTATTTGGTTGTTGTATGTACACATGTGAGCTGTATGTCTATTTGGTTGTTGTATGTGCACATGTGAGCTGTATGTCTATTTAGTTGTTGTATGTGCACATGTGAGCTGTATGTCTATTTGGTTGTTGTATGTGCATTTGGTTGTTGTATGTGCACATGTGAGCTGTATGTCTATTTGATCGTTGTATGTGCTCATGTGAGCTGTATGTCTATTTGATCGTTGTATGTGCTCATGTGAGCTGTATGTGTATCGACTGCTGTGTGTCCAGCAACAACTGTGAATGAGTGCAGAAACAGGTGCAGAACATTCATTCTACAACCAGGTTATAGGCCGCCTAAGTGAGTATCAGCTACTTGCTAGGAGCGTGCACAGGTAGTCTCAGCAGTGGACACACCGCACTACGACGTGGGGTGTCTGTCTACTCATCCGCATATTGATAGACTGTATTGTCAACGCGAGACTCGCGAGTACGTGGTATATATTTATTGGGTGGATAAAGTCAATCGACTTCGATATATATCCGCTTCTAGTATATAGGTTGACTGCCCCCCAGATATACCGTAAACGGGTAAAAATAGTGACCCTGTGGTTTGGCGTGTGTCCCAATGAACAGGTCTATTGGCAGGGGCGCGCAGGAGTACTGCATTCTAGACTGCATCTTGGACGAACAGGAGAGGACCTTCCATGTGCTCGATGTGATGTGCTGGAAAGGCCAGCCGCTGTATGATTCGGACACAGAATTCAGGTGTGACAATTGGCTTTTATGATAATTGGCTTTTGTGACAATTGGCTTTTATGACAAAATTACTATAACTGGCATCTATAGGGGTTTTATGTATCCAATGAGCAAATTTTTGGGGTTAGGATTCGGGTTCACACTGCTTTCTACTACGGACTATAGACTGTATGTAGGCGCTCCGTACGTTAGCGACAGTACAATTTATACCGCCCGTGCGCTTTGCCTTGCTTGCAGGTTCTTTTGGATCCAAATCAAACTGCAGGAAACCGATGGGATTGGCCAGTTCAGCCGCTACAACCCCTACCGATTCACAGCCATACCCTCTGCGCCATGTGATGGTAAGGCTATCACCGCTCTGGTAACCCAGGTAGCCTCGGCCAGGGGTAAGCCTAAGGGGGTTGACGGTGTACTGTTCTATGATAAGGAGGTGCGGTATTGTGCCGGGCGCAACCCGGCCGTGCTGTGGCTGAAGCCGGAGATGCTCGAGGACATACTATACGAGAGTGCGACCACCCCTGAGCCTATGTGATGTGAGCCGTGACAAGCGTTCGTGAAGGAGGAGGCGGCTGTTAAGTAAGAGGGATACGCGGGCGTACAGAGATGGGAATAACACTAACAGGTAGCTTAGGCTAATATAAGAGTGTATGAGCACCTCACGCATGGCTACAAGGCTTATTCTGGGTTGGAATACTCTCGGGTCGGTATGAGTGTCTATGTAACACTGACAGGTATCTTAGGCTAATATAAGAGCGTATGAGCACCTCACGCATGGCTACAAGGCTTGTTCTGGGTTGGGATACTCTCGGGTCGGTATGAGTGTCTAAATGTAACATTGACAGACTACTTAGGCTAATATAA